CCAGAGGGTGTCACGGGAGGGAACTGGACAGAGCTTTAGGATTTACCTCTGGCCACACCTTCCTCCTCCAGGAAGCATTCCTAGAGTTTCCTCCTGCCAAGAGGATCCTGTACCCGGCAGACGCACCTTATCACATCATAACTATGCCACATCATGTCTGCCATACTCTATCAAGCTCTTCCATGCCCCAAGGCCTGGCATGTCGGTATGCATGTCTGTCCCCTCAGACTACTAGACACTGTCAGCTCTGGGAAGGACAGAGAAAATAGGTGCAGAGTGAGGGCAACTGTGGGGACTCAGGAAGGAGGTGAGGAGGCAGGTGGACTTGTCAGGGGACCCATCTCAGGAGGCCTGGGGCTGAAGGGGACCAAGGACTAAGAGGTGAATAATGAGGCCCAGGTTCCTGGGAGATCCCCAGAGGACCATGAGGCCACCTCCTGGCCTGTGGGGAAGGAGAAATGGGTGGGGAGAGCTCTAGGTGGCCAGGAATGTGGGGTAAGGGTGGGAGAGGGACCCAAGAACCTGCTTTCTCACAAGTCAGATCACCTGGGCATGGGGGCTCTTGGGGCCTGGGTCATCCTGGGGCTGCAGGTGAGTCATGGGAAGGGAAAAGTCAGGCCGGGTGTGAGGAAACCAGCTGAGCCACCCCATGGCTGCCCTAGCGGGGAGGTGGGGAGCCGCAGAGGTGGGGGTTTAGGCAAAAGGCTCACGGGAGTCCCTTCAGTTTGGCTTCAGCTCCCCTGCTGTTACCAACCCTCCCTCCTTTCCAAAGACCCCTGGCTGGCCCTGCAGGAGGACAGGTCCATATGTCCTGAGGCCAGTTGCTTTGTCTCAATCACAGCCTTGAGGCTGCCCTTGGAGTTTGCTCCAGGAAGTGGGAGCCGGTCTTGATCCAAAGGGAGGGGTCACTGGGTGGGCTTTCATATGGGTTAGGGAAGGACCTGGTGGGGAGTTTAGGAGGAAGGAGAGAGAGCAGGAAACTGAGGCAGGCCCCTCCTCCCCCAGGGCGAGGGGTCACTCACAGTTCTTGGAGGAGCTAAGGACTCCAAGAAGGAGGTCCTGGGTCCTTCCCGTGCAGGCCACCTGCTCAGGTGCGGCGCCTCCTGGACCGTTTGTGTAAGAAGTGGCAGCTGCCGGTTATAACTCTCCCAGCAGCCAATGTCTGGCAGCAGGGGCGGGCTCCCAGCCAGATCTACCAGGCTCTCCCAGGCTCTCCCGCCTCTGGGGTGGAGATGGTGGCCGCACCCAGAAATCCCAGAATGAGGACTGGACTGCAACCCCCTCTGAGGCTCCTTCCTTGCACTGGCTTTTGCCGGCTTCCCTGGATCCCTGAGTGGCCGCCTTGGGGGAGGGGTGTCCTCCCAGCTTACCTCTCCGTCTTCCTCTCTCCCTCCCCAGCAGCCTTTGCTCTGCCCTGTCCCTGGATGTCTGACTCTCCCACTATACTCTCAGCTGCGGATAGCAAGGTCAGGGTTTGGAGTTCCTGCCCACAACAGGGCTGGACCCAGGGTGTGCAGAAAAGTCAGCACTTGTTTGCCTTTGGCTTGCACTGTTCTTGTCCAGGGTAATAGAGTTGTCAGTCCTGAAGGCCACCTGACTGAAACAGCCTGGAACTGACCTGGACACAGCCAGGAAGTCTCTAAACTTCTCTGAAACTCTGTTTGTACTCAGGGCAAATTGGGGTAGCTGTGCCTACCTTCCCAGATGCTGGGAGCTCAAGCCTGGGTGCAAGCCTTTGAGTAAGAGCTCACAGGACTATGAGCTCCTGTGGGACTGTGTCTTACAATGTTTTGGGTCCCCAGTGTCCACTGCAGGGTGACCAGCACACACTAGGTGCTCAATATGTGCTGAGTGAATGGTGAATGACAAGGCTGTAAAATGCTGAATGTGGAAGAGATTCCTCTATTCTGGGAGTGCCCTGGCCCTGCTGAGGAGCATGCCTTGAGCCCTGAGCTGATGCCTAGCAGATGGGCGCCCCTTCTCCCTAGCAACCTGGTCACCTCCCTCCTCACATCCTCGCCTCTCGTCCCAACCCCTCCCAGCATATCCCCTCTCAGCAGCCACCTCCCCCCCATCCTCAGCCTCATCTCCTGGTTCTTGTCCATCCACTTAAACTCAGGTAAGGCTGCACTCTCCACCCCACAGCCCCTCTGGCCAGTTGTCTACACTTTCCATTCTCATCCTCACCATTACTCCTCTGCCTCCAGCAACCCTGGTGACCTGCTGGCCTGCTGGTGGCTACTTCAGACAAATGTTCTTTGGCCTTTAGCTAACTTGACCTTCCTGCCGTCCCCCCTTCCAGACATCTCTTGGCTTCTGGGCCAGCACTTTCCTGCTTTTCCTCCCATTCCCTGGCTGCTGCTTCCTCTCGGGCCCTTTTCCTCCTTTTGTCTAGCAGAAGAGTCCCATCTTTCTTCCAACTGCCACCTCTCCGAGTCCCTCTCAGAAAACTGCACCACTGGCTGCCCACATGTGCAACCGGGAAACTAGAACTCAGCCTGTCTCCCCTCCTGCACCCCAGCCCCCTAGCCCAGAGGCCACCAGACCCTGCTGAGTCCACCTTCCAAATCTCCATCATCATCTCATGCCAACAAGACCATGAAGATCCCCAGCCACAGGGAGCTTTTCTCAATTCTCTGCTAAAAGCCTTCCAAGGGCTGCAACACTTTGGGTCCTCAGTGCATTCCTGGCAAGGGCCCATGAGGCCCTACCCAGCTGGGAATGACCCACTTCCAAGCCCACACTCTGCTCCTGAGCCCCAGCTGAGGGCAGGGGGAGGGGCTGCAAGGACCACACTTCACCTCTATCATGGCTCTCAGCACCCTGGGTTCAGCCTCATCACAGCTGGCAGCCTGCTGGGCTGAAGCTTCTGTCCCCTCCAGCCAGCCTGGAGTCTGGGAGATGAGCCCTCAGGGCTGTGGCTGTGCCTGCCATCTCTAAATCCAACAGCTCGCTCACCTGGGGCTTGGCAGGTCTTCAGTTAATTCATGCTTAGTAGACAAGTGAATGGGCCTGGAGGACCATGAAGCAGGAGGGGGAGGAGAGGGCTTCTGTATCTTCTGAGGAGAAAACAGTCCAGCTCACCTTTCAGGAAATTCTTTCCCAAAATGCTGTCTGGAACAACTAAGAGCAGGGGTGGGGTTTCCTTCCCAAGGGAGGACCAGCTGCCCATGCTTGGAACTTGTTTAGGTTGGAGTGTCAGGGAGACCCCACAGCTGGCATTTGAATAAAGCACAGCCACAGAGAAAGTGGTTTTAGTAAGCCCGTGACACAGGGGAGGAAGCAGATCCAGAGATGCTAAGTGACTTGTTGAGGCCACACAGTGAGTTAAGGCCACAACGGTGGCCAGGCAGCAGCCTCCCTGCTCAATACCCAGGTTTCTGGCAGATGCCTCAGTTCCTCCCTGTAAGTCCCCCCATCACCCGTGTCCCACCTTACATACCACACAAGTGCTGGAGGAGGGAGGGCGAAGGCATCACGTGGCAATAACTATGGCACTCGAGTGATTGATTACTTGGGAGATGCCAAGACCTAGGGGATCCGCTGCCTCCTGGGTTTGGGTTCTAGGGTGCTGGCCCTTGGGCAGACCTACAGAGCCCTGGTTCGCGGTAAAGGGCTGTCTCCTCGCCCCTTCTGGGGCCAGACGCACAGCAAGCCCATTTCCTCAGCTCCAGGGCCCACCTCAGCCAAGCAGGCACATCTCCACCATCACTAGGACAGAGAACACACCTGGGAGTGCGCCACCACGAGCGTGCCCGGGAAACAAAAACCACCTATCCCAGAAGAGCTGCCTGCCTGCTGGCACAGACACTGCTCGCGTCCCCGTCCGCCGGGTGCTATTCTCCACCCTTTCCACCAGAGGGCGAGCTGCCCCTGAAGAAACCCTAGAGAAGGCGGCGCAGACCCGGGGGAAGCGCACCGAGGGGGACTCCAGGCAGTCTGAGGAGACCACCGCATGCTTCCATGTCTCGCCTTATTTAAGGCTCACCACGACCCTGATTCTTATGTGTTGTTCTTACACACGAGGACGCAGGGGGAGTTTCTTGGCCCGTCAGCAGCTGGCAGGTGACCCAACAGAGTTAAATCCCTTTGGGTTAAAGAATGAACTGAGACCTTGACAGTGGACGTGAACTCTCATAGGTAATTATACTGCTGGCGACAGATGGCAGAACGGTTTTTGTGGATCTTTTTTTACCCTTGGGCCTCCCCTCTCTGAAAAGTTCCTAAAGTTCAAGATGTCAGGTCCGCCCAGAGGATTCTGAGGATGTAAGAGTGTTTTAAAAACGTGCTCTATTTTCGATTTCCCAAATTAACACAGCTGGACGCGGAAGCGGGGGGGAACCCTTACCATAACTGGACTTCTTTCTGAAATAAACTCATCAAAAAGTTTTGGTTTTGTTTATAAAAAAAGGAACTGAAATTTAAAAACAGCCCCAAAGGGAACCCGACTCCTGACTTTCACATCCATCTCATCTGAACCCCCAAGGTCCAGGGAGAAAGGCGAGGCAGGTGGAGCCAGCCCCGCAGGTCCACAATACCCTCACTCCACCTCCAGGTGCGTCTCAGAATACAGATTGGCTGGGATTTTAGAAAGATACTAGGAGAGCAGGCACCTGCCTCTGGGTTATATAACCGCCCAGCTGGGCTTGGGGAGGCCCTCTGCAGTCAAGTTTATTTGCATTCCTGCAGCAAAACATAACAGTTCGCATTATGTGGGATAAAGACCATCAACATCCTCATGGGTTCATGTGAAGTTTTGTCACTGGGTGAATTACGAAAAACCTTTGAACTTCCAGGGAGCTTTGGCACTTGGGAATTGCAAATAAGGGAGTGTGAGCGTGTACCCCTCTCCTTTTGGGGTTGGGGAAAGGGAGCTCGTCCGAAGTCGGCAGACGTGTTGGCGGGCAGCGAGCAGGACGCTAAGCCGAACAGGTCTCCTCGCGCCCCGGCTCCATGCAGGCATGGCTTCCCCGCCCGCCTCCCCGTGCCCAGCTGCGTACCTGCGCTGGCCTCTCTTCTGGCTGCGGGCCACGCACATCCAGGATGGCTTCGTAGACGTTTTCCGAGTCGCTGCGCGCCAGGGGCCGCGGACACACCCAGGAGCCCGCCACACTGCAGGCCTTGAATCCGCCTGCACTCCCGAGAAGGCCGGCAGGAGGCGCGACTGTGGTGCGCGCCAGGTCGTCTAGGGACTGCGCTGGCCTTACCGGCGCCAGGGGCCGCACATATAGGCAGGCGGGCAGGCCAGGTGCCAGGTTGCTGCGACCTGTCATGTCGTCGCGCCGCGCAGGGCCGCACAGCGAGCTGGCACGGCCCCGGGGCTCGGCGTGGGTGCTGTCGGGGCCTGCCGCCGCGCTCACGAACCGGTAGTCGTAGGCAAGAGGCTCGGGGGCTGCGGGGCCCGAGTGGGGCGCGGGCAGCGGCGAGGCTGTGGCGGGATGGCCAAGAGCTGGCAGCTCGCGCACGTACTGCGCTGGTAAGTAGAAGGGGCGGCCGTCAGGCTCGCGCCGCACGTGCCACCAGTGCTCGGTGCTGCGGCGCAGCAGCCGGTAGCGTTCGTTGGGTTGGATGGCGACGCGGCGTCCATCCTTGCCAGTGTACTCAAAAGGGTGCTCCACCAGCACGTACACGTCCCCTTTGACGACGTCCGCCGCCATGGCGGCCGCGGCGTTTTCCTAGGGGCAACAAGGAGGGGGGCCACGAAGGTCAGGGCGGCGGAGCAGAAAAGAGCACCATGCTAGGGGACTGAAGGAAGACCTGGGTTCGAATTCTATCCTGCACTAGCCACGTGCCCACGGGCTTCAATTTTCCAATCTCCAAAATGGGGACTCGCATAAAATCATCTCTATGGCTCCTATTCTTACACTCCGTGATGGAATGAGGACAATCCCTTCATTCGGTGTGGACAATACAGGACCAACTTTACCACTAGGGAAGCCTGGGCTCCAAGACAAAGGGTGATTGCTGGTGAGAAGGTCGACACCACATTTGCTTAAAAGTTGAGTGAGCCTCAGTTTTCCCGTTAATGAAGTGGGAAGAACAGCTCATTTCCCGCCGCTCCCTGTCCGGGTCCTGCCCACAAGGACTCCGAGAGAAGCACCGCAGCGCCCCTCTATCAGTTTGCACACTAGGCCCGCGGGGTCAGGGTCCAGGTAGGGGTTCTGGGGGCGGCCCCTGGAGTAGCTCTATCCTGGGGGTGTCCATGCCTTACTTAGTCCAGAGGACTTGGTATAGGAAACTCAACTGCCAAGGCAGGGGAACCGGTTCTCTCGGTTTCTCTTTCTTTCCCTCGTCGCCTCGCCACAGAAGTGAACCCAGAGCCCAGCCCGCCCAGACGCGCCCGCACCGCCCCCTGCTCTCCAGCTCCCACACCACCTCCCCAGAGGGGCTTGGCCCTCGCAGCCTGTGATCACTGCCCCATGAGAGCGGCCTCTAGAAGATACACTTTATGACCATGACTACCCCTGCAGGGTCTCCAGGGTCCCCAAAGTTTTCTGGAGCGGTCACCACAAACCACCCCTTCGTCCAATGCCTGGTTATCCTGGCTGTGTGTCAAGGAAGGGGGCAGAGCCTAACTGTAAATCTGCCTGTGTCCCTCTATCAAATCCATGGATCGGTGGCCTCCTCCGGAAGAGGCTGATTTCTAAACCCTTACACTGACCACACCTTCTCCTGCCAGACAAGGTGGCCCGAGACCAGGCCCCGGAGCCGGGCTACCTGATGAGGCCGAGGGACCGCAGGAGTAGTATCCGATGGGGGCCCCTAACACTCTTTCTCTACTTTCTCTAGCGTTCCCCGTTGGAGGAAGGGGTGTAAACTGACAGGGCACACTGAGCTGCCCAGGGCAAATAAACTCCAGGCAGGAGGACACTCCCCTCGCAGCCCCTTCCCCAGCTTCTGCAGTTCACTCACGTTGGCTGGGCGGGCCGCCGGGAGCCCATGTGCTGGATGGGCGGAGCCAACGAAGAGGCGACAGGTTAGGCCCCCACCATCTCCCTGGGCGGGACTTCCAGGGGCTTGGCCTGAGAGACCGCCCGCGGAACAGCAGCTGGAAAGGGGAGAAGAGGCAGAGAGACGCTCAGGAGGGCTGTCCCCAATCCGCAAAGTACCTCTGTCTAGGAGGCTCAAGGAAGACCCTGACTGCCTATGCCAGGGCCTTGGAGGGGTGGGTGGGGGGAGTTGGGACCGAGCACAAACCCAGAGAAGGCGCCAGGGAAGCCCCGGAGCCAGGAGGGCTTCGTCTGAAGGGGCGCTGGCGAGTTGCCAGCAGAGCCCTGGCAGAGGAGAGTTCCGCCCCTGCCCGGTTTCCCTTTCCACCCCTACGGAACTTGATGTTAGCGAGCCCCTGCGTCCTGTGAGCTCGCGGCTTTGGGAATGCCCGGCTGAAGCCGGCTGTCTGGTCCGGGCGTTCCCTTTCCGAGACAGGTCATTTGCACCCTGAATCACTAACTGCCAGCCCTTTCCAGCCGGACTGCGGCTTACCCTCCCCGGGCCCACTCCAGCCCTCCCCAGGCCCTTTCCAGGATTCCCACGGCAGGGACGCCACACAGCGCAGTGTCTGGGACTGGGACTGGGTGGGAAGGGGATCGGGCCTCAGCTCCTTCCTCGACCTTGGGGAAGCGAAGACAACAGGGAGGGATGGGAGAGCTGGGAGGATCCCTAGAACGCAAGAACTCATCCGTCCCTGGAGGCCCCCAGGGTCCAAGGCCCAACAGACTAGAGCTACAGTGCCTTCAATGCCTGGGTCATCGCTGGGGCCCTGGGCCTGACCTCTCCCGTCTCCGGACTTGAGGGCAACCCTTCGCTTACCTCCTCTTCCCCAAGGGGGATGCGGCCCGCTCAGTTCCCGCCCCAGCGCGGAGTAAAGGGGAGCAGGCGCGCGGAGCTGCCTGGTGAGGACCGGCCGCCCGGGGCACCCTTCCCAGCTCCCCTCAGCTTCCCCCGCCCAGCACTGGGCACCTCCGGGCGTCCGCTCGCTGGCCTCGCCTCCACTTGCCCCGGCAGGCGCGCGAGGGCTCGGCGTCCGGTGCGCTCTCCTCTGCCGGCCGGCTCCGGTGCTGCCCTGTTTCCTGTTCAACAATATAACCAGGGAGGCACCGGCGGAGAGCAGAACTTCCTCCCGGGCTGGGGCTGGGCTGTGGTTGCAAGAGACAATCCCCGGTGTCCTGGCTTCCTGTCCCCTCTGGGCTGGGCCAGCGCCCCAGGAGCAGAGACGCCACCTCCTCCCCCCTGCACCTCCGGCATCCAGGGCCACACCTGGCTGTCTCCAGGGAGGAGGAGGAGGAGGCTGCAGGGCTGCGATGGTGGGAAGAGGGTGGCGGGAACCTCCCCACCAGCTCCTCCTGGCCAGATTGCCCTCTTGCTGGCCCTCTACCTCCGGGAGAGGAGGGCCACGTTCCAGTCTGTCCATAGGGTAAGTTCAGAACCTCCTCCAAGAGGCCAGAATCGCAAGTCCAGCCACAGATTTCACTACCTTGGGGGTCTTCTCAGGAGTCATCTGCTTCTCTGGGGAAATCTGCCCCTCTCTGACTTGACCCTGCAATCCAGACATCACAAGCCCTGGCCTGGTGGACCCTGCTTTGAGGGCCCTGAAGGAACAGTTGTACATGTCCACGTGGTGCTGGTGCCAGCAGCCAGCTGCTTCAGGCTAGTGATCTGGGAGGGGGACAAAGCCCCCAACCCAGGCCTCAGCCTCTCTCAACACCACCTCATGAGGCCTGAGGTTTGGTTGGAACCCGAGTCTAGCCACCCCAGTACCTCTGTATGTTGTGCCATGCTCACCAGTGAGTCTACATTGTGTGGGGTACCTCAGTGTGTCTAAGCCCTGGAGACATCTTAGGATTCTCCAGGGCAGGCTCAAGGCAGAACTCAGCATGCTAGAAAATAGTGGCTGAATGAATACTCCCCACACTCTACCTCTTAGGTCCTTCCCCACCTTCCCAGTAAGCAAGGAAAGGTGGGGGCTGCAGTTATGGTTCTTGCCTGGGGCCAGGCAGATCTGATACCAACTCTGCCACTGGCTGGCCTTTAGATCTTGGGGGTTTTGCCTCACTTCTGCATTCCAGTTTTCCTTCCTATAGAGGGGTGGTAACACCTACTTCATAGGATAGTTGGGAAGATTAAAAGAGATGCTGTAAGCACAGGGCCTAACGCGTGGTAAGCGCATACAATGTATTAGTTACTATTACTGCTTTTATTCTGAGGTGGGCTCCTTGGGGTTGGGATTGGCAAACCTCCATCCCCATTTAGGCAGAAGGGGGGAATGGGGAACAAATGCTGTCAGAGGCACCTTGCTGAGGATGGAGGGACTGACCCCACAGGCAGGGTGGCACCGGATCATGTACCCCCAACCCTCAAAACCCAGTTCATATCCTCTCCTCTGGACCTACAATCCACTGCCCTGTAGGAGGTGAGACCCTTGGGAGAAGCTGGGGTCATAGATGGGCAGAGGGGACCCCCTTCCCCTATAGGCTGAAAGGGGTCTTCAAGGACAGGAATGTTGCCTTTTCCATCCCATTTTCCTGTTACCTGAGTTCCCTCTCCATTAGTATTTCCTCTTATGATACAATGGGCAGTGGCAGGCCTCTCTGGAGGGACTCCTGGGCTTCTCCTGGAACTTTTGAGGAAGGCCAACCAGCAAAGTACAGGTCACTTTGAGCCCCCAAACCTCTGAATCCAGTGCCCTGCTCAAATAGCCCATCCTTCCTGAGCCCCTTCCCTCCTGCCTTTATTTCTCCTGTATTCCCGAGGTTTCACGTGATTTGGGGTCAAGGGTCTGTGCTTTGACTTGTGAGGCACAGGAAGAGAAGTGTGGTGCTGATTTCAGCTTCTATATGTGTGTGAGTAGACCTCTCCAAAGCTCCTGAAATCCTACTGGGGGGGGGGGCTGACTGCTGGGCATGGCCAGAGTGGTGAGTAGCAGGTGGCATGTAGACTGACACTGTTGCTTACTTACTGTCCCCTCTCTACACACTCCTAGCATACCAGCCCCCTGCCTGCAAATGTTTGTCACTGACCCCCTCCAAGCCTTTCCCTGTGGCTAACAAGAGGGGGCCCTATCAGATGGTAATGATGACTGGTGGCCTTCCACCAAGCAGCGGCAGTGTCAGGATTGAGAAGCCAGGCCAGTGATTAGAAAGACCAAATCTTTACTGCAAAAATCACACAACAGCAATTCCTTCAAAACAAAGCACTTCTCAGGGCCACAGCCCCATTCACTAAGAACAGTTTATTGCATAAAATAACATTTTAAAATAATGTGGGCACTACTGAAGTTCACATCAGTGCTCCACTCTGGGGGTGGTGGTTAAGAGTCAACTCATCTAAAAGCGTTAGCAGCTTCTTGGTCACAGGGAGGGAGCCAGCTCTAATGCTAATAATCCAGGTGGGGGAGGCCCCTCCAACCAGGGCCTCACCCCTGCTGTCTCCTTGGGGACCTCCTGGGAATATCCTCACAGGCCCAAACCCACCGCAGGCTAGACTCCTGTCCACTCAGGGATGGGGTGGTGATGGCTCTGATCATGTTTGCATCTTTGTGGTGGAGCGTTAATGCAGGCTGGGGTGGGGTGGGGTGGGGATAGAGACGAGGTACCCAGTTTAGGAGGCCAGGGTGTCTGGGTGCAGGTGCACACCATCTTCTGTGACTGTGAGGAGCTGCTGGCGCCCCCACAGGCCCCCTCCTGCCCGCCTGCCGCCTCCTCTTTTCTATTGCACATTCATCTAGCTCTGATGACTCAGCAGCTGATCACCCCCAGGGAGGGGTGGAAGGCTCATTTCTTGACAGTGACAGACAGATCACCCGAGGCCTCCAACTCTAACTTGAACTGTAGGTAGGATGACTGGAGGACCCCAGGGCTGACAGGGCCTGCTGGGTCCAGGAGAGGTGGGGGAAGGGAACAGAGACCATCCCCTCCCCCTAAACCTCAAGGGTCTCAGCATCTCTGTGAAAACATTTTCAGGCTCCCACCTCAGCCTCAAGATCCCTTTCAAAGGTAATCCTGGGCCAAGGACATTTCCCAGTGTCCAGCAGCACCCCTGCTGGCAAGTGATGGGAAACTTTGGGAATTAATGGCTTTATAAGACTGAGGCTGAGGGTGCTTCCTCAGGGCAGCTTCTCTGCACACCCCTGCACATCTCAACAGTGGAAGGACCAGTCACTCCCCACAGTGCAGGGCTTGGTCATCACAGCACCCAAGGCCAGCCCCTCCCTGGGCTCACTGTCCCCTCTGAGGCCTCGCCTATCTCTGCTCGGGAGGGGTCAGCCAGGCAGGGTTGTGACCCAAGAGCCCGTAGGAGGTGGGCCTGCAGTGTTGGCAGCAGCACCCTGCCCATCTTCGCAGGGGATGAGGGGTGGGCAAGGTGATGACCTTCCCTGAACCAAGGAAGGTGCAAAGTGCTGACAGTGCTGGTTGAGTCATTTCTCCTTCTCTTGCAGGGACCAAGAGCCCAGGCTAGAGAAGAGCCAGGAGCTCTGACACCAAGAAAGGGGATGGCCCCTTCAGGTAAGGAGTGGGGGAGTGGGGAGTAAAGACACAGGGACAGGAAGAAGAGGTCACCAGGTAGTTTGGCATGTGGCAGCAAGGGTGAAGGCAAGGCACCCAGTCCAGCACCAGGCTCTGTCCTGGCAGTGACTCATGTGTTTGTTACCTGCTGCTGCCAGGCCAGGCCTGAGTGGCTCCTGCACATCTGCTCAGGGTGAGAATGCCTGGATTTCATGGGTGACTTATGTACGGTCAAGTATAAAAAAATATTTTCTGTTGCAATATGAAGGGGGAAAACCCACCTTAAAAAACTAGACCTTTTAATCGGGAATTTGGAATTGAAAATGCTCCTCAGGTCTCATTTCCACAGTGTTCGAACAGCCCTAATGGAAGTGCTGTGACAGTGGTGAGGCAGGGCCTGGTTAGGAACAGGCCCCCTGCTACCTCCAGACAGGGAACACTTGGTAGCAGGGAGACCATGGGGCATCATTGGGGCATCCTTGGCTTTCTCTGGGAGGCCTGTACACTGCTCACATTTGAGGGTTTTCCCGTTAAGGGGACACAGCTGGGACACCATGAGATGGAGCAGCTTGGGCTAATGGCTCTCACCCCCTGGCCTCTGGGGTGGGGTCTAGAGACGGGGGTTACGTGAGAATGTTCTGTTCTTGGTACTTGCGCCGGCGGGCACAGCGTGGGCAGCCCTCCTTCACCACGGCCTGGCAGCTCTGGTGGAAGACGGCCTTGCACTGGGCACACCTGGGGAGAAAGTGCAGGTGCTGCTTTTGCTGGCTGGAAGGGGGCCGCCCTGTGGCCAGTGCTTTTGACCAGGCCCACAACATGGCTCTGGCTATGCCACGCCATCCCTAGCAAGAGAATCTTGAAACAATGCTTGTCCCTAAGTCAGGCAGTACATGCTGATGTTCTCTGTCCTATTTCATTTCTTATAAATGCTGCTTGAGAGTCACTAAATGATTTCTTGCCTATGTTTGAAAGACCCTGCAGTTTAAAAAGTCAGCCCTAAGTCCACTGAATCCTGGCCAGCAGACACCTGCTGAAAATGAACTAATGCTCCCAGCATTAGTGGGAACTCCCACTCCCATATGGGTTGCAGGTAGGTTTGCATGAACTTTTCCATTTAGAGGCTCCTGATAATGAGCAATAACTGGGAACAAGAGTGATCATGACAGCAAGAGGCAGTGGCAGGTACCACCCACCAGATGCCCACTTTGTGCCATGCCTGGTGCCAACACTGTGGGGCAGAAACTCATTCAGTCCCTCCTCAACCCATTCACAGTCTGAGGCCCCAGGAGGCCCCACTCAGAGCCACCTCTTCTCTAGAAAGATGACAGCTCAGCTGTGGGCTGCCCTGGACAACCTCGCCACCCCTTGGCATGGGCACAGAGTAGATATCCAATGTTTTCCCACACCACAGAGCTGGGACTGCCCCTCGGGAAGCTTGTCCAGGCTGTGGGTGTCAGGGGTGGGACTCTGAAGTGGCTGGCTGATATCCCACATACCTGACTGTGGTGTCAAACTCAAAGGGAAAGATGATGTCGTGGTGGTGGCAGATCTGGCAAATGAAGCCACGCTGGGTGCACAGGTCACAGTGGTAGATGTGCTGGGAGGCAAATTCGATCAGGGCCTTGAGGAATCCTTCATACACACCCTCTGCGATCTGAGGAGGGCAAGGGTGGCACCAGGCCTTTCAGCAACTCCGCAGCACCCTGCCTGGAGAACTTCTACCCTCAGATCCCACATGGGTGACAATACTTCCCCCAAAGCAGGCTGAGCAATGCAGATGTCCAGCCTTGTGCAATGAGGGCACTGGCGGGTTGTGGGATATATAGATGAGAACTGAATCCATGGGGCAGTGTTTCAAACTCTCACTCCTGTGCCCCGGGATTTGCTGGGGTACCTGGGTATTCCAGGGGGTGGGGGCATAGTCACTGCCCAGGAAGCTTGGGGCAGCAGGGCAGCCCATTCTGGGGTATGGTAAAACTGAAGATTGCTGTCTTGCTGGGGTAAACTACAAGCACCACCCCCCAGCCCCCACCCCTCTTGCCGTCTCATTTCTCCAGGAACAAGGTCCCACTAGGGAGGTCTGGTGGGAGGAGAAGCAGGATGTTTCACCTGTTGGAGATCAGCAACGCTAAACCTGTGGGGAGACTCCAAGAGATAATTCCTGTGGTTGAGCCTTTAAAGAAAACACAAGAGATTCTTTAGAAGGGTTTCCAGGACCTGGGCCAGCCTGTGTTGTTTTCATTTCCTTAGCACTGCTAGCCAGGTACAGATACCTCTTGCCTGGGTGGGGCAGTGGCTAGGAGCAGGAGCCAACCTGCCTGGACCCGGGACCTGGTCTTCAAGGTAACTAAGTACCTGGTGGGACCTGAGGCAAGTTACTTAACCTCTCTGATGCTGAGGTTTTCTCCTCTGAAAAATGGAGTTGTTTTAAGGATTAAATGATGTATTTATTTAAAGCATCTGGCACAGTGCCTAGCACGCAGTCATCACATAATTAATGAGGATCACAATGATGAATGCTAACACTTACACCAGGAACTGGGCTGGGAGCTTTACATGTATTCATTCATTTGATCCTCACAATAATCCTGGGAGGCTGGTGCTAGTATAATCCCATTTTGAGAAGAGGAAACACAGAGAGGGTAAGTAACCTCCCTGAGGTCACACAGCTTAGTCAGTGGCAGAGCTGGCATCTGAACAGGAGTCTATCTAGCTGCAGAGCCTGAGTCTTGATTCTCCCTGGTGTGCCTGTAGATGCTGGCTGTTGTATTACTGCCATCATTACACACTAGGGACAGTGCAGGGGCAGAAATGCACAGGATGTGGCCTCTGCCCTCAATATAGCTCCTGGTCTAGTGGAGGGACAGGCATTCCTCTCTGGTTTCAGTGCTATGTGAGGGGAACTGAGAAGTGTCCTAAGTACAGCAGATCCCATTTCAGAGGTAGGGGTGGGGAGCAGAGGATGAGGGCTCAGCTGCCAACCCGGCTCTAGTTTCCACCACACCAATAGCAGGGATCCCACAGGTCACATCCTGAGGGACAGAGAGGAAACATCTGCCAAAAATCCCCTGCTACAAAAACCTGCGTGGCCTTGCTGTTTGTGTGCGTGGGGAGAATACTCTAGGTCAGACCACACTTGAGAACATGCCTCAGGATGCCCTGGACATTTGGGGGCAGGATGGTGCCATGTCTGAGGCTGGGCTCCTGGGTACAGGCTAAGGGGCATCTGGAATGGTTGCTTGTCTGTTACCCCACCCACCATGGCCTCTGCTATGATCTTGGGGAAACCCCATCTGGGGTGAGGTAGTGCCACCAAGCAGCCAGGCAAGCCATGGGGCCGACTGGCCACTCAGTTGACTATGCTGGTGTCCCCAGTAAACATCCAGCTTTCTGAGGACAGAAGGCTGTCATTTACCACAAGGAAAACACAGGGTGTTGGGGGAAAGGGGACATACAGGCTGGCCCTGAGCTGGCAGGCAGGGTGGGGCTGATTTGGGTGAAGAATTCTGTCATTTGGAGTCCCTCTACCCCAGGCCTGTCACACTCTCAGGGACACCTTGCAACTGGTTTCTCAGCAACACTTTGTTAAGGCCAGAGGGGAAAGAGCACTGGCCTGGGGGAGAGGCCACTCCCCTTGCTGCTCTCCAGGAGAGAAGCCCATGTGCACTGGGCATACCCCAGGCCTACTCAGGCCTCAGTTTCTCTACCCACACAAAGAAGAGACCCCTTTTGGTCTCCTCTGACTGCCTGGGGAAGGGACCAGAGGAATCTCTAGGACTCTTTAGGAGAGTGGTAGATAGGTTATTATCTCAGTTCCTGTAACCAACAAAGTGACAGGTCCGGAAGGACCCCAGCCACTCTCTGCCCACCCTCCCTGGCTGTTGGGAGGAACACCTGGGGTCTGATGGATGGACACCCCTATGGGGCATCTCTGTGATGTTTCCCAAAGGCCTGAAAGGAACCAGCCCTCCCTGGCTCCCTTCCACTGCCTGCACCCCGCTGCTATCAGAGTGGTCTTTTCTAAAAACGCCGATCAGACATGATAGTCTCCAGGACCTAGAACCCTCCAACAGCTTCCTGATGGTGGCCAATAAAATCCAAAGGCCTCAGCGTGGCACCCAGGCCCCTGGAGCTTCTGGTAAGTTGTGCCCCTACCTACCTCCCACTATAGGTCCCTAAGCCAGGAAAGGCCCCTCCCTGCCCTTTCTTCTCTTTAGTCATTTTTCTAAACTTTAGTTCAATATATACATGATGCTGCTGGTGTGGTGGCAACTGTCTTTTTTTCTTTCTTTTTTGAGACAGTCTCACTATGTCACCCTTGGTAGAGTGCAATAGCATCACAGCTCACAGCAACCTCTAATTCTTGGGCTTAAGCAATTTTCTTGCCTCACCTCCTGAGTAGCTGGGGCTACAGGCACCTACCACAACACCCAGCTATTTTTTTTTTTGCAGTTTTTGGCCAGGGCTGGGCTTGAACCTGCCACCTCCAGTATATGGGGCCGGCGCCCTACTCCTTTGAGCCACAGGCGCTGCCACACTCAGCTATTTTCTTGTTGCAATTGTCATTGTTGTTGTTTGTTTTTTGTGGAGACAGAGTCTCACTTTATTACCCTCAGTAGAGTGCTGTGGCATCACACAGCTTATAGCAACCTCCAACTCCTGTGCTTAGACGATTCTCTTGCCTCAGCCTCCTGAGTAGCTGGGACTATAGGCATCTGCCAGAACACCGGGCTATATATTGTTTTGCAGTTTGGCAGGGGCGGGGTTTGAACCCGCCACCTTTGATATATGGGGCCAGTGCCCTACCCACTGAGCCACAGGCGCCGCTGAGTTGTCGTTGTTTAGCAGGCCTGGGCTGGGTTCGAACCCGCCTGCCTTGGTGTATGTGGCCGGTGCCCTAACCACCGAGCTACGGGTACCAAGTCTTTTTTTTTTTTTTTTTATTGAATGGTAACTATGTATATTAATGCACTTCTGGGGTACAGTGTGGGGTTTTCACATGCAATCTGAAATACTTCCATCAAACTGGTCAACAGAGCCTTCATGTACGGGTACAAAGTCTTAACATGTGTGTCCAGAGTGAGGGCTAGAAGTAGGTGGTGTGGAATTTCAAGGGGTGATTTGGTACTTTTGTTTATTTATTTGCAGTTTTTTTTTTTTTTTTGGCCGGGGCTGGGTTTGAACCTGCTACCTCCAGCATATGGGGCCGGGGCCCTACTCCTTTGAGCCACAGGCACCGCCCCTCAAGGGGTGATTTGAATGGTCTACTTCACTCCCTTTCACAAACATCCTTCCCTTTGAAGACTATCTGTAAAGAAGAAAAATATATTTTTTAAAGAAATGGGTGGTACCTGTGGCTCAAAGGAGTAGGGCCCTGACCCCATATGCTGGAGGTGGTGGGCTCAAACCTAGCCCCAGCCAAAAAAAAAAAAAAAAAGAAAAGAAACAAGGAAAAGAACTCTGCAAACTCTCAGCTCAGCTCAGATGCCATCTCTTCCAGGGGCTCCCCTGCTATGCTGGGTCAGGTGCCTCCGTCAGGGCACAAACCACGCTGACGCAGAGGTACCTTTGGTTCAGACTCTAAGCCTTTCATGTGATACTCACCACAACTCAGGAAGGCCACAAGAACTCAGGGACCACTGGCCCACTTTATAGATGGGAAAGCTAGTGCTCTGGGAAGTGAAGCCACTACCCTGACTCCCACAGCAGGTTTGGGGCTGGGTAAGGGCTGCAGGTGCAGTGCTGCTTCCCGGCACCCAGCACAGGCTGGCTCTTTGGACAATTTTGGGAGGGAAGCTGCCCTGGACAGCACCAAGCAACCTGGGGTGGAGGACTGGCTGGGGCAGGGAGGAGACAGGAGACAGGGCCCTGCCCTCCGTGATCTGGCTCTTGCCTGCCCTTCACCACACTCCCCACTTCCCTCCTTGCCCCAGCCAGTGTGCTCCCTGCTCTGCCCACAGCTGATGCCTTTGTTCATGGTCTGCATATGCCATTTCTTCTGTCTGGTTTTCCCCTCTTCTTCCCCTTCCTAAGTCCTATTCACTTTTCAGGTCTCACAGTGGAAGTCACTTCCTCCAGGAAGTCTCCTCCACTTTGTTCTCTCATTTCTGCTGCTGGTCTCAGCACCCTACTTCTCTCTCCGGACCCTCACCCTGGTTGGAGCTGCCAGCTTACTCATCTGTCTTCCCTGCCAGGCCAGAAGCTTCCAGAGGGTAGGCCCTGGCTCTGCCTTTCTCACCATTGTATCCCACACACCTAGCCCAGAGCTTGGCACTCAGTATGTGCTCAATAAATACTTTTAAAGAACAAATGAATATATGAACAAAACTCAAAAACCACCCTCGAAGGATACGGTAATCTCCAAGCCCAATGGAAATGAGTGCTGACCAGTCCCAGCATTTCTCCCAAGTGGACAAGTGGATGCCTTGCCTCGAGAAGGTGCATACATCTCTGCGTGCACACACCCCTGTGTACGCACGTGCATTGTACTCACCTCTTGCTTAGCTCCTTCAGGGCACCGCTCCGGCACACGCCCAGGTAATCCCCCAAAAGCTTCAGCTGCTCCCTGCTCTTCCCAATGAGGTGCATCCGTTCCACATGCTCATACAGTGAGGGGTTCACCAGCTGCAGGTTGATGAGGGGCTGGGCCCGGATCTGCGTCAGGAACTTCAGGGCCTGCCGGCAGACCTGCAGGCCATCGGGCTGCTCACGTGCGTGCTTCTGGGCCTGGCACTGCACTACCTACCTACTCATTCACCTGAGGTGCTAACTTCATTTCATAGATGAGGAAATAGCTTCAGAGAGATGAAGTGATGTGGCCAAGGTCACACAGCTCATAACTGGTACAGTTCACGTAGCCAGTTTACCCCTAAACTCACCCACACTGTAATGGCAGCTGCCCCTCCCCCTCCATGCTGAGACCCAGGGCCACCCTGGTCACTGCCCCTTTCCTAGGCCTCACAGACCCGCCCTATGCTTTCCTGTCCTTCCAACCCCACTTTCCTGACTAAAGGAAACAGGCGCTCCCCTCTGGGCCCTGACTCAGGAACCAGGTGCTGGTCTGAGTCAGGCTCCAGCCACAGGAAGCTGCAGATCAGACTCAGCTTAGTATGAGGCTTCCAGAGCTCCCCCCATGCCTCCCTGTGGGGTTGAGTGACCATCAGTCTTTCCCAACTGACAGGGTGTGGAAGGTTCTACCCTTGGTCCCAACCCTAATACCAGTGCCAATAATTGAGCACCTATTTATCAAACACTGGGCTAGGTTACTGGCCTTGACCATGTAACCCCCTTCATCGTCAGAACAACCCCTCAGGGAAGGTGTCATCCCCCCCATTTTATAGATGGGGAAACAGGCTCAGAGAAGCTAAAATGGCTCCTCCAAATGCCTGTGGAGAGCACAGCCCGGGTCTGAGCTGAGGTGCTACCTCTGAACATCTGGCTACCACAATAACTAGGAAGTCCCTCTCCCCTGCAGTGTCCCCACTGTGTGACAAGACCAGTGGAGCTGAGATGTTTCCCATAGTTGATTACTGTGTAGTGATTAGGAGCCCAGCTCTGGATGCGGACCTAGACTGAATCTGGCCTCCACTACTTCCTGCCTGTATGACTTTGTGACTTAGTTTCCTCATCTTTAAAATGGGGGAAAATAAGAACACCTAAGGCCTGTGGGTTTGGGGCCTTATTGTTCGCTGTTGCTGCTCTAGCTGACCCACTCATACTGAGGCACTTGCCAGGCTCTGCCAAGACGAGGGCTTCTTTCCCATGGGATTATTTTGGCTTTAGAGTAACAGAGGTCATCCACAGGACTCCTGGCAAAGGGCCTGGTACAGAGCACATTCCCAGTAAACACATGCTGCTGTCAGGGGCTGTATGAGTGCTTGGCATGAGGGCTGGGGGACTTAGCAGGCCCTCAGGACACCTGTCCCTGTATTTGAGGGCTGGGAAGGCCTCTGCCCTCCTGTCTACCAGCTCCCCCAGCATCTCTCACCTCCCCCAGCAGTGGATGACCCCTTCTTTTCCCGTATCTCAGGGCCCTGAGGTACCAGCCCCACAGCCCAGGGGCAACCCAAGGGCAAACTACCCTGGTGACTTAGGTCAAACTGCTGTTCTCCAGCCCTAGCCCAGCTCTTGCTGTGACTCAGCCTCAGGCCTGGGGTGAGGCTCAGATGAAGTAACACATAGGAATGTGTGCTACAGGCTGCCAAGTGATGGGCAGGGGCTTCACACTCCCTGAGGGCTGTTCCTACGCTGTGGGAATGGAGGAGACAGACAAAGAAAGAAGCCCCGGCCTGGCTGACACCCTGCCAAGTGCCAGCCAGGCCTTAGCACAAGTAGGTCAGCCACAGCAGTGACCGTTAACAATAGGCCCCAAACCTGTGGGCCAGCCACTTTCTATTTTCAATTTTCCTGTCTTTCCCAGGCCAGTGATCTCTGAGAGGGAACCAGGGATTTCCTGATCTCAGATAGGCCTAGAAAAGTATTGTGATTTTCTAGCTAGAAAAAGGAAGTGGTCTAAGGATTACAGCAGGGGATAGGAGATGGTACAACAGATGTATCAGGGGTTTGTAAATCGTCAATGTATTTTATGATCTGGGGTTCTTTGCATTTTGGGTGATTCTAATTTTTTTTTTTTTGAGACAGAGCCTCAAGCTGTCCCCCTGGGCAGAGTGCCGTGGCATTACAGCTCACAGCAACCTCCAACTCCTGGGCTCAAGCGAGTCTCCTGCCTCCGCCTCCCAAGTAGCTGGGACCACAGGCGCCTGCCACAACGCCCGGCTATTTTTTGGTTGCAGCCATCATTGTTGTTTGGCGGGTCCGGGCTGGGGATTCGAACCTGCCACCTTAGGTGTACGTGGCTGGCGCCTTAGCCGGTTGAGCTATAGGCGCCGAGCCCTAATTTAATATTTTATTTTACAATTAATATTTTCATTGTACTCACTATTATTTAACTTAACATTTAATTTTCTCTCGGTAGTTTAGTTAAATATTTAACACTGAGAGTAGGTTAGGGACAAGGTAAACAACAAAAAACCCAGCATGATGCCAACTTCTTTGGGGTTTCCTCTCCCCAGAGAGGTGGAGGTTGGGGTGGAACTGACTCAGAGTCACCTCCCTAGGCTCTGAGGAGGACACAGCCACACACCAAGCCTTCTTGGCTGCAAGCTTCTTCCTCATAATATTGTGTCTGTCTTAGTAGAAATCTGTACCTTTGGAAGAAAGCCAAGTTTGCACCCCTTGGCAGACCCTGACCAAAGGGATTCAGGGAAGGAGGTATGGCAGGTCTTGGGGAGGGAAAGAGCACTATTCTGAGTGACAGGTGCACCCTGTCAATACCCAACAGACACTGTTTCAACCTTCCTTGCAGATGAGGAGGCCTGAGGAGACTTTGCTTGTGATAACACAGCTAGAAACATAGCCAGCTTGTGTAACACAGCTGGCTACACTCAGCTGGAGAGGAGGAAAACTGAAAGACCTTAGAATACGTCCTATTCAAAAGCATTTGCTGAACAAAAAAGTACTTAAGATATAATATTAAGTGACCTGAGCATGTTATAAAGCAATGAAAGGCTAGTATGATCCTAATTTTAGAAATGTAAATAAGTGCACAGAAAAGGGTATACCTCAAAATGTGACAGTGATTATCTCTGGACAAATTTTGATTTGTCTTTGGGCTTTTCTGTAATTTAAAAATGTCAAACAATAATCACGTGTTATTTTAATAATGAGGGGAGCCCCAGAAAAAAATGCTCTTTAAAAACACCAATTAAGTAAGCCCATGTAAGGCCTGCAGGGAAGCGCAGTCAGCTGGGCCTCACAGGGTTTGCAAAGGCAAGGCTGACACCAAGGGGTGTAGCCAGGTGACCAGATAACCTATCCACCACGTACCCATCCATCCATTCAGTTGCTGGTCCCTTAAACAGTTTTGTCTGTTGCTGCAGAGGACCATCCTCAGACTCCCACCTGGGGACCCAGGCAGGCATTGACAGGGCTCTGTCCAAGGACTGTAGACAGGCACCAAGTTTGTCTCTTGGTGAGCTCCTCCACCGGTGACACTGGCTTCCCTAGAGCCAAACTCTTTGAAACAGATAAACAGTGGCAGCAAGGAGGAGGGAACACTCCTCTGTCCTTCAGCAGCCCTGTGTGGCCTTGGTAGGCCGGGCTCAAGACTTACCGGGCGCTTGGTAAGGTCCCAGTTATGGATGATCCTGGCCGGAATCACCGAGGCATCGTCTTGGTGGCAGATGTCACAGTAATAGAGGCCAGAGAAGGCACAGAGCTTGGGTCGTACAAAGGAGAAGCCAATCTGCCGGGAGCAGCCTGAGGAGAAGGGTGGTGGGTGAGCGGCAGGGCCTGAGTCAGCGCCCAGTAACAGGGCAGCCACTACGGTGGAAAGGACCTGCTAGCTTATTTTTTAAAATTAATTAATGTGTGTTATCATAGTTTACTGCAGCCTCTAACTCCTGGGCTCAAGTGATACTCCTGCCTCAGCCACCTCCGGATAGCTGGGACTACAGGTGTGCACCACAACACCTGTCTAATTTTTCAAGTTTTGGTAGAGCCGGGGTCTTGCTTTTGCTCAGGCTGGTTTCGAACTCCTAACCTCAAGCAATCCTTCTGCCCCAGCCTCCCAGAGTGCTAGGATCACAAATGTGAGCCACCATGCACTGCCTCAATTTTCTTTTGAAGTAAAGTGCAAAGATAAAAATAATCATTAATCAGAACCAACCCTATTAATTAATCTTTACAACACATTATAGGGATTATCATTATTTTACAGCTGAAGAAACTGATACTCAGAGATGTTAAGAAACCTTCCTGGTCACACGATTAAGTGGCATGGCTGGCATTCAAATCTGGGTTTGGTTGGTTTCAAAGCCCACCTTCTGCTCCATTACCACCAGCTGCCTGTGTTCGGTGCCTCCACTGCTAGCTCAGCAATGCCAACCTCCCATAGGCCCACCCCTCCCCTGAGGCCCAGAAATGGAAGGCAGCAAGCCAGGGCCTCAGCAAACAGTGAAGGAACTGGAGCAGTGGTTCTCAACCTGTGGGTTGCTACCCCTTTTAACAATGAAAATACATCCTGCATATCAGATTACGATTCATTACAGCAGCAAAATTAGTTATGAAGTAGCAACAAAAATAATTTTATGGTTGGGGGTCACCACAACATGAGGAACTGTATTAAAGGGTCACAGCATTAGGAAGGTTAAGAACCACCGAACTAGAGAGATGGGGCTGGCCTCAGGGAGGGGACGAGAAGCCAGCATGAGGCAGGGTAGTCTGCACATGGCCTGGTGCCAACTTAAACCCCGTTGGGGGTTGAGGGGAGCAAGGGTGGGGTGTGCCCAGGGCAAAAAGCTAGGGCCCAACTCAAACCCTGAACATATGCCCTGCCTCCCCCAGGCCATAGGACCAGAGGGCCTGCCCTTCTGCTTACCTAATTTTTTCTTTTTTTTTTTTTTTTGAGACAGAGCCTCAAGCTGTCACCCTGGGTAGAGTGCTGTGGCATTACAGCTCACAGCAACCTCCAACTCCTGGGCTCAAGCGAGTCTCCTGCCTCCGCCTCCCAGGTAGCTGGGACCACAGGCGCCCACCACAACGCCCGGCTATTTTTTGGTTGCAGCCATCATTGGTGTTTGGCGGGTCCGGGCTGGGGATTCGAACCCACCACCTTAGGTGTACGTGGCTGGCGCCTTAGCCAGTTGAGCTATAGGCGCCGAGCCTTACCTAATTTTTTCAAAGTTCCATTTCAGAGTTTATAAATTTCAGTGACTACCAGCTATTTTCTCGGGTTATTACAAAGTTTGAATGAGACAAGTTTCTGAAAATGCCCTGCAAACTAAGAAATATAACCCAGATGCTTGCGGTTGGTATCTGTCTAGCCACAGAGCTGTGCGTGCCGGCTGGAAAGGAAACCCAAGCTCCCTAGTGTCATGTACAGTCCCACTGGTAGGTGGCAGCGACGGGGAGAGCTGCCTTGCAGGGTTCACACCCTCAGGTGGAAACCATTCCTCACAAGCTCTGGAGTCCTGGCCACTTCTGAGCCCCCACAGGCTAAGGAGCAAAGTGTGAGTGCCAGGGCGGGTAGGGGTGAGGCTGGACCCTGGCTTGCAGGTGTTTTCTGCAGGAAGCTCTGCTCTGCCTAGCTTCTCCCATCCTCCAGGGGGCCAACCACAGACCACTTCCTTCTTGCTTGAAGATGCTTGAAGCAGGTTTCTCTCCCAGTCTACCCCAGCAGGACAGCTCTCAAACCAAGGCTCAGCTTCTTCTGCAGCAGGACAACCTCCTTACAGGCCACCTGAGGGCCCCCTGGTGATGGAGATGCCACTTGCCCCTTGGTGGCAGGGAATGGGAAGAGCTAGCAATGGACTGTGGGCAGGGGAACATCACACAGCCTTGAATGATATATGGGATGGAGACCCCCTGGGGTCCTGGCTATGAGCACAGGCTCTGGGGCTTGACCTTTAAGGTCCTAATTTTTCCTCTGCCACTTACCAGCGGTGGGCCTCAGCTTCTTCATTCTAAAGAGAGATAATACCAGCATCTATCTCTACAGGCTTGTGAGGATTAAAAGAGATAATCCAAATAAAGCATCTGACCCAGTGCCCAGCATAGAAATTATTAGATTTGATGATGAGAATGATACAGCAGGTGTGCTGGCTTGGAAAAATATCCATAAAAAACTGAGTTGCAGAACTATATACATGACCCTTGAATGACACGGGTTTGAACTGTACCATTCTACTTATATGTGGATTTTCTTTCACCTCTGCCGCCCATGAGATAGCAAGACCAGCTCCTCTTCCTTCCCTCCTCAGCCTGCACAACATGAGGATGACAAGGACGAAAACCCTATGATGATCCACTTCCACTTAAAGAATAGTATAGTTTCTCTGCCTTATCATTTTCTTAGTAACATTCTTTCCCACTAACTTTATTGTAAGACTATGGCATATAATACACAGAACATATAAAATATGTGTTAATCGACCACTTATGTTAATAGTAAGGCTTCTGGCCAATGGTAGGCTATTAGTAAAGTTTTGGGGGAGTTAAAAGTTATATGTGGGCTGAGTTCAGTGGCTCATACCTATAATCCTAACACTCTGGGAGGCCAAGGCAGGAGTATTGCTTGAGCCTAGGGGTTGGAGACCAGCCTGAGCAACAATTTTCTTTTTTTTGAGAGTCTCACTTCATCGCCCTCGGTAGAGTGCCGTGACGTCACAGCTCACAGCAGCCTCAAACTCTTGGGCTCAAGTGATTCTCTTGCCTCAGCCTCCCGAGTAGCTGGGACTACAGGTACACACCACAACACCTGGCTATTTTTAGAGGTAGGGTCTCGCTCTGGTTCAGGCTGGTCTCAAACCTGTAAGCTCAGGTAATCCACCCACCTCAGCCTCCTAGAGTGCTAGGATTACAGGTGTGAGCCACTGTGCCAGGCCCAGCTTGAGCAACACAATGAGACCCTATCTCTATAAAAAATTAAAAAAACAGCCGAGCATGAGGGCACACACCTATGGTCCCAGCTACTTAGCAGGCTGAAGCAGCAGGATGCCTAAGCCCATGAGTTGGACATGGCAGTGAGCTATGAGGTTGCCACTGCACTCCAACAACCTAGGTGAAAGAGTAAAACTCTCTCTTAAAAAGAAAATTTATATGTGGATTTTTGACTACATGGGGGGGTCAGTACCCTAAGCCCTGCATTATTCAAGAGTCAATGGTATACATACAGCTGTGCCGTCCAATACAGAGGGCCAGAAGACGGCCCTTTAATTTCAAATAAATGCAAATGGGAAATTCAGTGCCACATTTTCAGCCACATTTTAAGCCCCCGGTAGCCATATAGACAGCTCATAGCTATGGCAATGGACAGTACAGATTTAGAACATATTCATCACAGAAAGTTCTATTGGACAGCACTGAATAACATGAGCCTATTTTTATAATTTAAAAAAAAAATGTAGGCTCAGTGCCTATGGCTCAGTGGCTAGGGAGCCAGCCACACACACTGGAGCTGGTGGGTTCGAATCCAGCCCTGGCCTACCAAACAACAATGACAGCTATAACCAAAATAGCTGGGCATTGTGGTGAGTGCCTGTAGTCCCAGCTACTTGGGAGGCTGAGGCAAGAGAATCACTTAAGCCCAGGAATGGGAGGTTGCTGTGAGCTGTGATGCCACAGAAGCCTACCCAGGGTGACTGCTTGAGAATCTGTCTCAAAAAAAATAATAAACAAATAAATAAATAAATGTGTACTGGCTAGGAGTGGTGGCTCACACCTGTAATCCCAGCAGTCTGGGAGGCCAAGGTGGGTGGATTTCTTGAGCTCAGGAGTTCGAGACCAGCCTGAGCCAGAGTGAGATCCTATTTCTAAAAAACAGTTGGGTGTTTTGGCCAGCACCTGTAGTCCCAAGCTACTTGAGAGGCTGAAGCAAAACGATGCCTCAGCACTCTACCAATAGTGACAAAGTGAGACTCTGTCCCCCGCCCCAAAAAGTGTCCACTTGCAAAAGCACACAGAAATACTTAGAACGATGCCATGCCCCTTCTGTGAAAGAATGTGACAGCACAGAAATGAGATGAAGACTGGCGGGACTCCTGGAGCAGCAGCAAGCACCAGGCTGCCACGCCAGGGCTCACCTGCAGCAGGAGATGGAGGAGAGCAGGGTCCCTGCCTGTGAGCAGGAGCATAGCCCCGTGAGTGCTGGGGTAGAGCAGAGGCTGCAGGACAAGCCTCATTTGTGGCCCCATCCCAGGGGAGGGATGGAACACTTAGGGGAGCAGGAAGGGTAGAGAGCCTAAACCAGGACCCCACAGAAGGCAGGGCCAGGCTAGCAGGCTGGGAGTGGCAGGAGAGCAAGTTGGCACCTGCACAGAAGCAGCCCTGGGAGTCGAGGCCTTTTTCCGTGGGGATGGCCACCAGGTACTGTAGTAGGAAGCCGTTTTCCCGGGTGGCGAACTTCAGCACCTCCTGACAGTTTTCATCCAGACTCCCGCCGAGCGTCACTGCCTCCTCAGCTGTCTCCAAGTAGGATGCCAGGACCTTGCGGACCAGGTCCCTCCACAGGGCAGCCTCCTCGGCATTCCCTGCCTGCAGCTTCAGGATGGCCTTGGCTGTGATGATTTTAAAGAAGGATGGTCCCCCGAGGCTTGCATCTGGCAAGATATCGCGGATGGTCTCAATGCCATGGCTGTCACTTAGCATCTTCTCGTTGTTTCTCACACGGAAGCATTTCAAAGACTCCAAGGACAGGGAAAAAATGTAGGGCACCCAGGTCCTGTCCATGTACAGGTACAGAAGGGATTCCTTAATAGCGTCAGGCTCTGGAATGTGGGCAGATGACCAATCAAACTGCGGGCTTTGGAGGGTTGCAGGCTCTGAGAGCAGGTCTGAGTGACCCCGGGGCACTTCAGGGGCGTCATCAGGTTGGTCTGGGTACTGCACGTTTACCCACTCATCCTCCTGCTGAGGCCGGACCTTCTGCAGGGCCTCCCGCACCCGGTCCAGCCAGTCCTCGGCTTCATCCTGGGAAGAAGCACGCAAGGCCAGTTTCTTGCCAGAGAAAATGAGCTCGAAGCGCCCGTCGCTGTGGGCTGGCCCCACAACCTCACAGCGCAGCAGGGAGCAGTTCTCCACACAGGTGCGCTCCTCGTCACTCAAGTAGAGGCGGAATTCCAGTGGGGAGAGCTCACAGAAGAGTTCCTTCCAGATGCCCATCGCCCCTCGCCGCTCCACTGTGCCCAGCTTCATGAGACCCCGGAAGGGGTTGGACAGCCCTGAGGCAGAAAGAAGCATGTTAGATTATGGTCATCTCCTCACTGCCCAAGGCAACTCCCGGTGCCTGCCACCCTGTGGTGGGTGTGAACAAGGCGACTGCCCTCAGAACACGGGCACTGTCACATGCGATTCTGAAAGCCAGGTAGGGATATTTTTACAGTGCCTCTGCCCCATCATCACCTTCAGCAGTCGACTGCTTCTTGTATTTCACTGAGCAAATAAAATCACTCAAAAGATTATCTCCATGTGCCAGTTCACCACATTCACCCCCTTCTCTCCTGTCACATCTGTGCAGTAGTGGCCCCAGCCACCTTCTCGAGGACAAGGACATCTCACCAGCAGTTCTCCCTTTCTCCTGTGTCACCCTTTTCTCCCTTCTCTACTGGATCCTTCCATGGGCACACAAAAAAGCTGCTGTTCCATCATAAGAAACATTCTTATCTCCACTTATATCTCTAATTACAACCTGTTTCTTAGGCCTCTTCAGAGAAAAACTGCTTGGGGGGGGTATCAGGACTCCCTGTCTCTACTTTCCCTGTTCCCTTTCCTCCTTGAACCCTGTCCCATTAGGCCTTCATCCTCTCTTTCCACTGAAACTGCTATTGGGATGGTGAGCAATGCCCTCCTTGTTGCCAGGCCAAAGGCCCCTTCCCAGCCCTCATTTCCCCTCCATCCCTCTGGTCTGCTCCTTCCCCTGACCTCCCAGGGCTAGACTCAGGGCTCAGTCCTGGGGCTTCCTTTCTTCTCTGGGGATACCCTCTTCCTAGATGATCTCACCTGCTCTCAGGGCTTTAGGCCAGTAACTCCCAAACTGCTATCCTAGACCTCACTCCTGGATTGAGATTCACATATCCGCCCACTCTGTGTGTGTCCCGCAGGCATCTCAAAGTCAATACATCCAAAGTGAATCCCCCTTCCTGTGAGAAAAGACATTTTACCCACTCCCCTCAAAAAACAAAAACAAAGTGAATCTCCAAGTCTCCCACTGCAAACTTGCATCTTTCCTAACAGTCCTCATCTCATAAAATATCAAAATCCATCCTTGAAGTTGTTTGGCTAAAAACCTTGGAGTCACCCTGGATTCTCTTTCTTTCACACTGATGTCAACCAGTCCTGGTGGCTCTACCTTCAACGTACACTCAAGACTTCACTTCTCACCAGGTCCACCACTACCTCTGGGTGATAATGACCTAATTACAAGGTTAGTCAGCCAGGAGTGGTGGTTCAGGCCTGTAATTCTAGCACTCTGGGAGGCTGCGGCAAGTGAACTGCTTGAGTTCAGGAGTTTGAGACCAGCCTGAAGCAAGAGTGAGACCCTGTCTCTTAAAAAAAAAAAAAAAAGCCAGGCGCTGTGGCAGGCATCTGTAGTCCCAGCTAGCTACCTGGGAGGCTGAGGCAAGAGGTCGCTTGAGCTCAAGAAATTGAGGTTGCTGTGAGCTATGACGCATGGCGCTCAACCCTAGGGTGACTGAGACTCTGTCTCAACAAAATAAAAGGTTAGTCAAAGCATGTCCCTCTGCCCAAAACGCTGCAGTGGCTGCCATGTCCCTCAAAGCAGAAGCCCACAGGCCCCATCACTCTGACCTCATTACCTATGTACCCATACACTGCTCAATGCTCCCTGTACCCCAGGGGTCTGCCACCAACCAGGGGAAGGACACACAATTCTCTCTCTCCCAGCCTGGACTAGCCTTGGAAATTTTTAACTACTTTAGAGAGTTTCCTACCCCTCAGGGGACCTGGTGGCCCAGGCATAAAGCACGCCTTCTCTGGTCTGGTTGGAGACCTGGCCAGCACAAGGGCTGAAGGGCAACCTAACAGAAGCCAGTCTGGGGCCCAGGTTCTACCACACTACACAAAGAACCGGGCAGAGGGCAGAATTCTGCTGGGTTATTGCAAAAAGAAAATGAGGAGAGGAGAAAGAGAAGGGCACATATTTTTTGGTTGGTTGGTTTTGAAAAGGAAACCTATTACAAGGGTAACAGAAAAATTAGGGTATAGTTACTTAATGCTTTCTGGAATTTCACAGGCTATGGAGATCATTACAGTACTGGCTTCACTGTAAACAGCACATGGAGGACACTAAACAAACAGTACATCTGAGAAGCCCTACCAGAGCTGTTAAATAAACCTTCTGAGATAAAGGCCTTTGGAAGGATCAGTTAAAACGCCTGGGGCTTCAGGGGACTGGGTTTGCTCTGAGCTACAGATAGAATCAAGAGTTCTCTATAATAGTAAGTCATATAGAATAATTTCAAAGAAAATATTTTCTGTTTCCACAGATGAAACAGTATTTTTATACTCTGCAGGTAGGTTTGAGCATTATTTTATTAATACTTTGTAAGAAAATACAGTACTTTCCCTGAAATGCCTCCCTGAATTACTGAACACAAGAGCTTCCCATTAACACATTCTGGGATGAGGCTTTTCATGTGAGAACACATCCCTTTGGCCATAGGAAGAAGGACTTTAGACCTGCTTTTTGAAAGGCACAGTCCCTGCACATGGGGCCCACCTGGGACCCCTCTCCCCCCAGAGTCACTTACCCATCTGCCTCCGGTGCACCACCCGGAAGTTCTTATGCTCCTGAGCTGGGGCTGCCTTGGTTCTCCTGCTTCCTGGGGAAGGCACACCTGCTTTGTCTAATGCCTCCAAGGAGCAGCTTTTTCTTGGTCCTTGAGAAAAACGCCTATGGAGGCCAGGCCTGGGCTCTGGAGGCCCTCTGGGAGAAACCACGAAGCAATCTGAAGCACTCTCTGGGGGCTGCTCCTGGGTAGGCCGGTAGAAGTCATCTTCTGAGATCCAGCTCTTGCTTTTCTGTTGAGAAAGAAGTAAACACAGACATTGTGGGGTTTCGTTTATTTTAAAATTAAAAAAACAAACAAACACTTTATCTTTATTTTTTGTTTGTTTGAGACAGAGTCTTACTGTCACCCTAGCTAGAGTTTGGTCATCGTAGCTTACTGCAGCCTCAAACTTCTGGGTTCAAGCATTCTTCTTGCCTCAGCCACCTGAATAGTGGGGACTACAGGCATGTGCCTCAATGTCTGGCTATTTTTTGAAGTTTTTTTGTAGAGATAGGGTCTCACTATGTTGCCCAGGTTGGTCTTGAATTCCAGGCCTCAAGTGATCCTTGGCTGGGATTATAGGTGTGAGCCATGGCACCCAGCAAAAATTTCTATTTAGATACAACTCAAATACCATAAAATTAACCCATTTAAAGTGTAGAATTCTATGGTTGTGGTATATTCACAAGTTGTGCAACCATCCACACAATCTGAGTTTAGAACATTTTCATCACCTCAAAGAAAGCCTGCACCCCTTTGTAGCTACTCTCATTTCCCCAACCACACCAGTTCTACCTAACCATGAATCTACTGTCTGTCTCTACAGATTTGCCCATTCTGGCCATTTCACATAAATGGAAACATGTAACATGTAGTCTTTTGTGACCAGCTTCTTTCCATGTTGTAAGCATGTCTGAGTATTTATTCCTTTTTGTTGCCAAGTAATATTCCCCTGTATGGATGGCTTACATTTAGTTAATACAACCATGACTTGATGGGCATCTGGGTTGTTACTACTTTTTGGATATTGTAAATAATGGTGCTATGAACGTTCATATGTGAGTTTCTGTGTGGACTTACATTTCTATTCCTTGGGAATATCCTACAACTACTGGATCATTTGTTTAACTGCCTCAGGAACTGCCCAACTGCTTTCTACAGTGGCTGTACCATTTCACATTCCTACCAGCAAAGCATGAGGGTGCTGATTTCTCCACAAACTCTCCAACATTTGTTATTATCTGTCTTCTTGACTATAGCCGTCCTGATCAGTAGAAATGCCATTTCATTGTGGTTTTGATATGCATTTCCCTAATGTCTAATGACATTGAGCATCTTTTCTTTTTTGGTAGGGGGAAGGGGAGAGGAGACTGAGCATCTTTTCATATACTTATTGGTCATCTATACCTCTTCTTTTGGAGAAAAATCTATTCCTTTGCCCATTTTCTCTTTCCCTTCCCTTCCTTTTCTTTCTTTCTTTTTTTTTAAACCTTGAAATAGGGTCATGCTCTGTTGCCCAGGCTAGAGTACAGTGGCATCATCATAGCTTACTACAACCTCAAAGTCCTGGGCCACTGGCCCTCCAAAATGCTGAGATTATAGACCTAAGCCTGTAATATGCCTGGCCCCTTTGCCCATTTTAAAATTGGGTTATTTGGCTTAGTACCCATAGCACAGTGGTTACAGCATCAGCCACATACACCGAGGCTGGTGGGTTCAAACCCAGCCTGGCCAGCTAAACAACAATGACAATTGCAACAAAAAATACCAGGTGTTGTGGTGGGCACCTGTAGTTCCAGCTACTTGGGAGGCTAAGACAAGAGAATTGCTTGAGCCCAAGAGTTTTAGGTTGCTATGAGCTGTCACACCACAGCATTCTACAGAGGGTGACCTAGTGAGACCCTGTCTCAATAAATAAGTAAACAAATAAGTGGGTTATTTGTCTTTTTGTTGTTGAGATGTTATGGGTTGAACTGTGTCCTAAACCTAGTTGAAGTCCTAATACCTAGTTCCTCAGAATGTGATCTTATTTGGAAATTGAGAATTTGTATATGTAACTAGTTAAGGTCTTACTGGAGTAGAGTGGGCCTTTTATCCAGGGTGACTGGTGTCATTATAAGAAGAGTAGAAAAGACACACACAGAAAGGAAAAAGCCAGGCAAAGACAGACACAGAGGTATAACCCTATGTGATGACAGAAGGAGGGACTCGAGTGTTGTGTCTACAAGCCCGCAATACCAGAAGCAAAGAAAAAGGCATGGAACAGAGTCTTCTTTAGCATCTCTAGAAGGAACCACCCTGTTGACATCTGGATTCTGGACATCTAGCCTCCAGAACTATCAGATGATAAATTTCTGTTGTTTTAAGCCATCCAGTTTATGGTACTTTGTTATGGCTTCCCTAGGAAACTAATGCAAGCTGTAAGGATTCTTTATATGTTATGAATACTAGACTCTTGTCAGATATATGATTTGGAATCTATGAACTGTCTCTTCATTTTCTTGATGGTACCCTCTGGGGCATAAAAGTTAAAGTTTGTAATTTTGATAAAGTCCAACTTTTTTTTTTGAGACAGAGTCTTACTCTGTCTCCCTGGGTAGAGTGCCATGGCATTATTCTAGTTCATAGCAACCTCAACTGGTAGATATCTAGTAGTCCTGGCATACAAGGTTTCCCAGCCCTGCTTTAGGATTTGAGATGAGGAAGGTCTGGTGAGCAGGACTTCGAGTTCTCACTAGCTACCTCTGCCTGTGCTCCCCACTTCTGTGCTGGGCCCTGAGACCCCAGGCAGCCAGGCCTGTATCTTCCTACTGCTGTTCTGAGTCTTAAGTTCCTTACTGGTAGGGGATGGGGGGTGTCTGAGGTCAGTGGGCTTGTGGGAATGGATTCTAGGTCCTTTTATCCAGTATTCAAGTCTTCCCTGACTTTCTGTGTCTTAACATGGAAAAGCAGAGACAAGGAGCTATGAAGCCGGTTGGGCCACCCTGCATGGCTGTCTACACAGAGGAAATGAGTCACACAGGGGTGGGGCCAGCCAAGGTGTTTCGTTAGGTGCTATCAACCTCACCCTGGATATTGCTATTTTCAACTCCTAAATCATGGCTGTGCTCCTTGCTGTGTAGACAGGGGAGAGGAATCTGACTCAGGCTGCCTTTGAAGGGTGGGTTTGGATGGTTTAATCCATTCTGATGCTATAAGACTCTTTAAGCCAATGGTGGCGAGTTCTTTTTTTTTAAAAAAGAGAAAAAGATACAATTATATTTAATTTAACATACACAGGAGCCTATATTCATGAGCTCTGGTTCAGGCATTTGGGGGCCCTTACAGAACTGGGTCTTCAGGGCCTTCTCCATGGGGCCCTCCCTCAGAATTGGCATGTGCTTCCTTCTGCCAGTGACGGGATGACACGTCTGTCAGGGTGGCTACAGGGTGCCACCTTCAACACTGGATTCTGAACAAAGCCTGCCTAGGCCATCAAAGCTAGGGGACTCCTGAGGAAAACAGTTGGAGGCACTTCCAAGCAGCCCCACAGCTATGCCCTAGCCCTGCTAATGGCCTTGATGGGGAGAGATCACTGTCCCTTAAGACTCAGCTAAGGGGTAATCCATCACCTCCTCCTGGAATCTTCTCTCACCCACCCCCAGCCTATACCCGTTTCTGTGTTGCCCCAAACCTTGCTCCTACATGCCTGTCTGGAGTGGTTGTTTTTCTTGGTATCTCTAGAAAAATAGCTATAACAGAGAAGAGAATACTTCTTGACTATCTGAATGTCTTTAATGTACGGTAACAAAAGTGGCTCAAGGGAACTAGAAAGTGTTCGGAGAGTCTAGGAAATGATACTCTAGGGAAAATCTTTTGTTCTTTTAAATAACAGTGAAAATTGTGGGGAGAGATTCTTTGGAGCTTCTGCACTTGGGCCTGGACAGAGCTCTCAGGCTGTGTGTCCTCCCCAGGGTGGTGGGCAGGAGGGAGCCCACGTGTAATCAGCACTACTTCCCTCTTCCCTCCCTTCCTTCTGCCACATTCCTTCGGCTACTCGCTCAGGGCCCACATCTGGCTAGCTCCCTGTCCTTTGGCAGTGGGGGGAAATCACCACTGACAACAGATCTACACTGGAGCTACACCTGTCACCAGGGACCAAGATAGAGAATGTCACTTTGATTTACTATAGGTATCATGACACTGTATATAACAGCTAAATCCCAGAGGGGAATCTCCCTGAAGAGCCAAATGCCAGGTCTTAGACACTGTCAGAAGGACTGGACTTTTTGTCTGGTCTGTCCTCATTCTGCCAGGCAAGGGGACTATCTGTATCCATAACTGGGGGAAGGAACCACATGCCATGGGCAGGTAGTCCGTGGGGGCAGTGATTAGGACCAAGACTTTAAACTCAGACTGCCCTCTGGGAGTTAAACTATGAACCCAACATATACCCTCCAGCTACCAGACAGGCAGTCACCCTTGAGAGCTCTCTGTCTCCTGTACCTCTCCTTCCCAGCACTCAGCACAAGTGTAATTATGATGTAGGTATCTACTGGTCTAATCTAGGGTCTGTCCCCAGAGGCCAGAGCTATTCTATTACTGTACCCTTAGCACTTAGCATGGTGGCTTGGCTCACAGTAAGTGCTTTGTGTTCAATGAATTAAAAAAATTTTAGGCTGGGTGAGGTGGCTCATGCCTTATAATCCTAGCACTCTGGGAGGCTGAAGAGGGTGGATTGCTTGAGCTTAGGCGCTAGAGACCAGCCTGAGCAAAAGTGAGACCCCTTCTCTACTAAAAATAGAAAAACTAGCTGGGTATGGTGGTAGGCACCTGTAGTGTTCCAGTTACTCAGGAAACTGAAGCAAGAGGATCACTTAAGCCCAAGAGTTGGAGGTAGCTACGAACTATGATGCCGTAATACTCTACTGGGGGTGACAGAGACTCTGTCTCAAAAAAAAATAATTTTTTTTCAAGTAAATCTTAAATGGTTCCTAGCATGATAAAACTTTTCAATGGCCCCACCATGCTCCCAAAAGTTGTCAAATAAAAAGCATATGGCTGATGGAAGAATAGGAAGATGAGGACTGTAGGTGCCAAGATGCACAGCACAGCCCTGCACCGAGGTGCACAGGCTGGGAGCCCCAGCAGGCCACTCAGTGGTGTGCAGTGAGTGACTCTGCAGTGTCTTGTGTGGAGCAATAAATCCATAACTCCCTTGGGAAACAGACACAGGAAGGCTGCAGCATCTGGGACTTTCATGTCAGACTT